TGGAGATCCAGGAGAGAAGCATCCTATGTCTCATTCCAAGCTTGTTCTCCCAGGAAGTGGGTTGGTGCTGAGACTGATAACAAGTTTTAAGTCTAAGATAGCAAGTATTTCTCTTTTCTCCTTTATTTTCTAGAAACTGAGTCTTTTACAAGCTGGTGATTCCTAGCCCCATCTATGCTGGCATATTTTGAAGAGAATGAATGTTAATTCTATAAGCTCTTTTGCTTAAAAGGTATGTATATATGCACCTACATTGCATCTTTACCCATTTGACATGCTGCTTGTTTAAGTGATGCATATCTCCCTTCTTGGTGACCCCCTGTGCCAAGACAATTGTGAGGAGAGTAAAGCCTGATAACCCAAGATAGCTCAATCTTGTCAGAACTTGTAAGCTAAGTAGGGTCAGCCACAGTCAGTACTTGGATGGCAGACCACCAAAGAAGTCTGGGGTTGCTATGAAGAGAAAGGCAACTTTTCATCTCTTGCCATGAAAACCCTAGGAGGGTTAGCCATGAGTTGGTTGCAACTTGATGCCACACAGTTATTATTAATTTAATTTGGCGGTAGTGCAGATTCCCTACCATGACATCTCCAAAGTCTAGGAAAGAAGAGTTGGATTTATACCTCACCCTTCACTTGAAGTCTCAGAGTGGTTTACAATCTCCATCCCTTGTTCTCCCCACAACAGATACCCTGTGAGATAGGTGTGGCTGAGAGAGCTCTGAGAAAACTGCTCTTGAGAGAACAGCTCTGAGAGAACTGTGACTGACCCAAGGTCACCCAGCTACTTGTATGTGGGGGAGTGGGGAATCACTCCTAGATTAGAGTCCGTTGCTCTTAACCACTACCCCAGGCATCTCAGCTATAGGCCAGGGTCAGTTTTGGAGGAAAACACAGAGGAATCTCTCAAGAGGCCACATTTCTTCCAGCCCTATGCATAGCTCATGCAATTTGGCTCTCATGGCCACCCACTGTCTGAAAGCAAGTGACAGATGAATGGTAAATAGGGGAAACCTCAGTTTGGGATTGTGTGTCAACCACCACTCACATTTCCAAAATCTCTCATCTAGAAGCCTGGCTCTCTCTCTCTGCGTCCCCCTTCCCCACCACATCCTATACATTTGTGGCCTGTCTGGGGTGGTCTGTGAAAGATGAGTTCAATGAAAGATCCTCAAAGTTTATGCTATGGAGAGCTGTGTTTGCTGGGCCGACTGGCAGGAAATCAATTGTGAGATATAGCCACCTCCTCTAAATTGTCCTTTTTATGATTGTTTTAAGGTAAAATTATTAAAGGCCACATGGGGTCAAGTATACAATGTAATATAGTTGGTGCCTATTGATGGCAGAGAAAATCATGCACTTGTTTCCTGTCCCTAGGGTGAGTCATTGCTAATTCTGCTGTGAGAATTGGCCCTGCAATGTAAACTTCACTGAAGGGAGTCCTTAAAGGGGCCCTGGAGTTGCTTGAAGCAGATGTGTAGCTTCAGCAACTGAAGCAGCTTTGAGCTGGATGAAGTTCATGAACACATGAAGCTGCCTTATACTGAATCAGACCATTGGTCCATCGAGGTCAGTCTTGCCTGCTCGGTCTGGCAGCAGCTCTCCAGGGTCTCAGGCAGAGGTCTTCCCCATCACCTCTTACCTGGTCCTTTTAACTGGAGATGCCAGGGGTTGAACCTGGGACCTTCTGCGTACCGAGCAGATGCTCTGCCACTGAGCTACAGCCCCACTTCGTGACTCTCCAGGGTCTCATGCAGAGGTCTTCCCCATCACCTATTGCCTGTTCCTTTTAACTGGAAATGCTGGGGATTGAACCTGGGACCTTTGGTATGCTAAGCAGATGTTCTATCACTGAGCTACAGCCCCACTGCATGGCTCTTCAGGGTCTCAGTCTGAAGGTTTCCCCACCACCTACTGGCTGTTCCTTTTAACTGGAGGTGCTGGGGGATTGAACTTGGGACCGTCTGTGTCCAAAGCAGATGTTCTACCACTGAGCCATAGCCCCTCCCCAGGTTCGAAGGAAAGGAGTTCTGTGGCTTGATCACCCCCTTGACTTTTCAGAGAAATAAGATATGATTCCCATGGAAGATACAAATGCTTTCTGCAACAGCCACCTTGTGCTGAGTCAGGCTATTGGAGCAGTTAGTCCAGTTCTGATAGCGACTCCCCAGAGACTGGATTTAAAGCCTTCAGCATGCAGAGCCAATGCACTCTTACTACCGTCGGAAGAGCAGCAAGCATGCATTGGAAACCAAGCATTTCCCCAACTCCAAAAGTATAAATCCTTCAGTGCCTGGATGGCGTCCTGCACTGGACCTATCATTTGTCACTTTGGAAGCAGCCAGGGTCAGGTGTCGCAGGTATACTGTTTAGATGTGCATCAGATGATGGTTTTGGGAGTTCTGACTGAAAGGCTTTGGGTTGACAGGATCAAGCAGGCTGGGCAAAGCAAAGGCAAGAGGAGACATTGAGCATTGTTGTCTTTCCCTGCTAGCTTCTTCCTGGTTAAGTCAATAACATAATCAAGTGGCTTGGATGCACCAAAAGATGTTGCACTTTACTCAGTGGGGAATTCCTCTATGGAGATTTGGGTAGTGATTACAAATGCCCTTATTTCCTGCCTCCCCTTTTGGAGAAGGATCACTGGAAGTACGCAGACTACTTGCTCAGGGCACAAAGAGACTTTGATCAGAGAGATGCTCCAAGGGCCCCCAGTGCTTCAGCAGCCTGAAGAATCAGCTTGGCGGGATACATGTAGCTCCTGGTTTATAATAAAAGGTGGGCTGCAAGCAGCGAGGACCAGAATGGTGTTAAATAATGATGTACTACATGAGGTTAATCTAATTTGTTCCCCCACTAATAGGGCATGTACATGGTAATCAGCAATATCACGCATGGAGCCACGAGGCTGTCATTGATATAGGGCTGCCGAAACCAACTTTCGCAGGTCCGCTAATCAGCGCAGAACACAAGGAAAGTGGCACAGAATCACCCAGTCTTAGTCCTAACTGGTACAATAAAAATACCCTTAATTGGTGAGGATGAGATGGAGGGATTGGAGAGGAGTTGTGTATTGTGATGGTACAGTGCATCTCTGCTTGCTTTGTGGACACAATATGCCACCCCCTGCAGGTGAGGGGAAGGCCACCTGGAGTCAGGGCAGAGGGCAGGTTTGGCCCTCACTGCAATGTCCCCAAGAGCAGAGTTACCCTTTTCCTTGGTGGGGGGGGGGAGGAGAAGGAAGAGGAGGAGGAGATTGCATTTATACCCCACCCTTCACTCGGAGTCTCAGAGTGGCTTACAGTCTCCTTCCCTTCCTCTCCCCACAACAAACACCCTGTGAGAGCTCTGAGAGAACTGCTCTTGAGGGAACAGCTCTGAGAGAACTGTGACTCACCCAAGGCCACCCAGCTGGCTGCATGTGAAGGCGTGTGGAATCAAGGAGTGTGGTTCTCCAGATTAGAGTCTGCTGCTCTTAACCACTACACCAAACTGGCTCTTTCAAACTTGAGAGTGGGATTTTTGAGGTTTGATGGTAGCAAGTTAAGACACATTGGGAGTTCCTAGCCTTGAGCGTATTTCTCTCCCAACACAATGAAATCTATCACACAGTATTTTTAATATGATTGTCTCACACAACAAAAGCCTTGAAAGGTAAGTCAGAGTAATTTCTATATTAGTGATTATGGGACTGAGCCTGTGTCCATCCAGGGATGGTTTCCCACTATGCTCTCACTGGAGCAGAGGGTCCAGATGGAGGGATTGACTATGATAGCTCCTCGTGCCCTCCATTCCTCCCCCCCCCCCCCCGTTAATAAAATCAGTAGTAGATATCTATCACTATAGTGTTCTGAAAATTGCCTGCTGCAGTTTTCTTGTTTTTTTAAGCCAGCAAAAAGCCCACCAATTGCAGGGAGTGGATGACCGGCATGAGAGGATATGGGGGGAAAGGGTGCAGGATATGGGAGAGGAGGTCAAAAAGCCTGTGCTTTCCCATCCACATGGCAAACAAACCTTTCTGGAGTACAATATGTCCAGAAAGATTATAAGAAAGCAGTTTGGGGGCAATACAGCAAAGCATGGTGGGAGACAACGAAATGCTAACACTGTATGAAAGCTTTAAAACCCAATGCAGCTTGAGGGAAGAAATAGATATTTTCTTTGTGTGTGTATCTCATCATACATTTCATTTTTAACTTACTGCTCTAAACTTGCTTTCAGAGTGCTACTGACATCAGGATATACCTATTAAATAAACACAGAAGTGTGGGAATGCTCTGCAGTGCCCCTTTTGCTTCTGATAGGGTACCAGAGATAGACTGGACTGTTAAAATGGCCCCAGAGCAACCCAAGGTGAACTTCAGAGGTGCTGGCAGTACTGCAGATACTGCCTGCCTTAAACTTGTCCAGACATGGCAATGGGTGTCCACTTACCCGTCACACACACACCTTGCCTCTGCCACCTGAGTCATAGCCAAGCAGTCCCTTTGGAGCTGCCAGAGAAGATTGTGCCCAGCTGAATTTAGTTCCCTTTTTTGTAGTTGAAATAATGGGGCTAGCAATGGTAACAGAAATTTATGGAATTGGGCACAACCCCTGTTTTTTTAAAGGATCTGTTGCTACTCCTTCAGTAGATATGATATGATGTACAATACTTTGCTTTCTTTCTGTACAGTGTACATTTTGAAGGCTTTACATGTGCGGCTCTGAGCCACTTGAAATACAGAATGGAGTTTTTCAAGATGTTCCTCAAAAAGTCTTTCCAATAACAATAATGTCTTTCCAAATGTACAACACAAAGTGCCCTGAAGATCTGCTAAAACAACATCCATCAGCCTTTGGAAGGCACTAGGTGCATTGCATAACCCAAATGGCATTACATGGAACTCAATCAGTCGTTGACACGTACAAAATGCAGTTTTAGCGTTCTTGTGGGTCTATTTCAACTTGCCAATAGCCACTGGCGAGATCTAAAGCAGAGAACCATCTGACAGTACCAGCATATCTCAGTTAGCATCAGTTCTAGGGAGAGGGTAGGCATGCATCACTGTAATTTCATTGAGCTTCTGACAGTCAGTGCAGAATCGGATCCCTCCAGCCCTTTTCCTAACTAACGTGACAGGGACAGCCCACACACTCTCTGGGGCCGAATCTCCTCTTTGCTTTTCATATCCTCCATGTGCTGCTCAAATTCCCACTGGAAATACACTGGCACTTTCTAAGCAACTGCTTAATAGGAGGGTTATTTTGAGTATCGATTTGGTGCTTTCTCCAATCAGTCCTTGACTAATCACATCAGCATACTCTAGAAGCATGTTTGTTATTGCTGCTGATTCCAACTGTTTCTGATCCAGCTGAAATTCTTTGATCAGCCCTTCAGCATTTCAAGCAAGTCTCACTATAGCCTGTCAGCAAATACACAGCCTGTATTTTATAACATCAAAACTGGGAAACAGGTTCAAACAATACCAAAGGCAGAGTGTGCCAGACTTTGACACCAACAGCTGGAGTTAAGTTGGCAACTCTTACTGGACTAGACTCCACTCAGCTAACAAACTGACTAACAAATCAGTTAGTAATCTAGTAGCCCCTCCCCAGATCTTCTGGACAAGTTTCCACCAAACCAGTAAAAAGAGCTTCCCTTTCTGGAGGAATAATCATGTTTTGTGCCACCACCCCTTTCACATACCCCAGAATTAGGACTGGCTTCCCTCAATGGACGCTTCTGTCCCCATGTCACACAGGTATAAGTTGAAAAACTGATTTCAGTCTGGTATTTGTTTAGAAACTCAGTTCTTCAGACATCATCTCATACAACTGCCTTAGAGCCAAACTAGACATGGCCACTAGGGTCCGACCCATAAGAGCTAGGATCCGATCTGTGGACGACAACACCATTTTAATGAGATTTTAAAATGCCCCAGAGGACAGAGACTGTATTGACTCCCCCTCCCTCGGCACCTTTTCAAGTGCTGAAACAGCTGCGGGGAGGGGCAGCAATCACATCTAGTTTGGCCCCTAGTCACCGAGAATTCATGAGTCATTGTTAATCTCAGGAAATCTGCAATGACTTAACCATTCAACAGTGCCCACTTCTGCAACTATTTCACAAGGCTCAAAACGTATTTGGTAATTTCCAAAAACAGTTTTCCAAACTTGTGCCTCTGAGTCCAGCGGGAACTTCCAAATTCATTCATTTTTTCCTTACGGACTGTTTCTTCTGTTCCACAACTAGCTGAACCTCAGGTTTGGTGTAGTGGTTAAGTGTGAGGACTCTAATCTGGGAGAACCGGGTTTGATTCCCCACTCCTCCACTTGCACCTGCTGATGTGACCTTGGGTCAGTCACAAGCTCTGGCACAGCTGTCCTTGAAAAAGAGCAGTTTGTGTCAGAGTTCTCTCAGCCCCACCCACCTCACAGGGTGTCTGTTGTGGGGAGGGGAGGGGAAAGGAGTTTGTAAGCCGCTCTGAGACTCCAAGTGAAGGGCGGGGTATAAATCCAATCTCTTCTTCTTCTTCTTCTTCTTCTTCTAAACTGGGCCCTTTGACTGCCAGTGAATGTTTCCCTGCTTAACAGACCCTTTTCTTCCTCAGCCTTCTGACCTGTAATCTCCAGGTTCATAACACTCCCAGCAGTCATGTCCTTGAATGTTAATTTCCTGTCTCTACCAGGAAATATGCACGTTTATTTTCTGAAAGTTGTCCCTGGCCTGTTCTTGCTAGTTGCTT